TTATTATTAAAATTATTATTATTAAAATAATTATTCTATCTTTTTCTGTTTTACTTTCAGAGAGTAATAGTACCGTTCGACAATTAAAAAAGAAAAAAGAATAATTATAAATTTCTCGATGCATCATCGATCGAAAACTTGAATTTGGAATCACCATCCTTGCGAGGGAGGGGGAGGAAGGAAGGAAGGAAGGAAGATAAAAAAAGGCAGAGGAAGAATGATGAAGATGCAAAAAGTAGACAAACACACGTTGTTTTGATTATATATAAAGATTAATAATTAAAAGAAAAAAATATCGAGAGGAAGTGTGTATGTGTGTGTGTATGTGTTATGTGATGCATGTTCGTGTGCATGTTTAAACGTACACGTGTAGATTTAATAAATGAAGTGACGTATACTCTTCTGATAGATTTCAAATTCAAGGAAATAAATTGATAAGGAAACGAAGTTTCATAAGTATATATGTATATATATATACATACATATATATATATATAAAAAGAACGAGAGGAAGAAAATAAAGAGATAGGTGAAGGAAGAAAGATAAATAATAAAAAAAAAATAAGAAAGAGAAAAATTATTAGATATGTGTCCTGATAAGGCAAGAGTATTGACTATGAGGTGTGCCGTCAATGAAAAGGTTGCTTACGAGGAAGAAATGGATCCCCTTGCAATAAAACAAATGGAAAAGAAAGAATCAAGGATTAACGGGGTCAAAGAAAATCATATATCTTCTACGAAAAATTTATCATCGAGTGATAGGGTTGAATATGTACCAAGAATCAAATGGTTGGATCTTTCCGCACAAATATTCATTCATGGTGGTTGCCTATATGGTTTCTATCTCATGTTCACTCAAGCCAAACTTTTAACGTCATTGTGGGGTAAGTTAAGTTTAAGTTTTCGTTTTTTTATTTTTATACGGATATTTATTATTATTATTATTGTTTATTTAAAATAATATTATTATCGTGATTATTTATAACCCTTTGAGTGTTATTGTTATTAAACTTTGTCACATGAACAAATTATGTTATATATAAGAGAAACAATAATTTTAATTATTAAATATAATTTATGATTAAATGTGTGTGAGAAATTAGTAATTAAGTATCAGCACTCGAAGGGTTAATAAAAACAAAAAATAAGAAAATTAGAATATCAAATTTTATGAAAGAAATAATTATTAATAAATGGAGAAACATAAAAGAGGGGGGGGGAAGACAAAAAAAAAGAAAATATAATTTAATAAAAAAAGGATACAGGATGCGGGGGGGGGTTGAAAAGTTTCGAGCCAAGCTACAAAACAAATTGTTTCCAATTATTAAAGTTAAAGTTCTAAACGTTTTCAATTCGTCTCCATGTATAATATTATTATTATTAATTTGCTATATGTGTTAGACGATAACTAATATAATAGAGTATAATAATCGATAGACATTATACTAATTGAAATGAGCAGAAATATTGTAATATAAAAATACAAACTGTTAAGTGAAATATAAAGTGAAAAAGATAATAAGTTAAAAAAGCAAAAAAAAAAAAAAGATATGATAAATGTATATTATGTAGATATATAATATATAACGTTGAGATATATATCATGTGCTAGCGATAGCAAATGTTATAGTAAACGAGAAAAAGAGAAAGAGAAAGAGAGAGAGAAAGAGAGAGAGAGAGAGAGAGGTTGTGACAAGAGATAAGAAAAAGTGATAAAATGAATCATAGTGCCCTACAACTACTTCTCCGATTATCTTTTTCGTTGAATTCTGCGAATAAATACAACATTTGAGTTCATCAAATTAATCCTACTTACGTATCACGTGATGATCTTTTATATTAAAAAAAAAAAAAAGAAAAAACATTTACCTCAGTCAGCAAAATTTCTACGCGATAAAACTTACGATTCCTATTTTTTTTTAACGTTAATTATTCGAACGACGAAAAAAAGATACGCTCTTGTTAAAGAAAAAAAAATATATA